GAGTGGGGCGCGTGGCTGTCCAGCGCTGGGCGAGGAACGCTGGACTGGGGGGCAGGCTTTTCTCGCCCAGGGCATGACTCCTTGAATTTTGGGGACCCAGCCCGACTTCACTGTAGCTGGGTCTTGCCCACGAGCCTTTCCATCACTCCTTTCCGGAAAGACAACTCTGGGCTCAACTTGTTTTCCTTTTAATGACAGACCAGGGGAAAGAACCCTGCAGAGAGCCAGCGGGCCCGCCGGCCTCGGGGAGCTCCTGCGAGTTGAGACGGGAGGCCCAGGGGCTGTCAGTGCCGAGTGCAGAGGCGGGAGGGGAAGTTGGGAGAGGCTGAGGACGGGAGATGCATTCGGGGGCGATTCCAGCGACGAGGAGGCGGCTTGGGTCCCCGAGGCAGCGCGAGCATGTTGGATAGGCATGGGTGGTTTCGTTACCATCCATGGGCTTTCTTTAGTCTGCGGAGACTTCATAAGGGCTCTTCCTTATTCCTCGGGCAGCTCCATCCCCCAGGTATTGAAAGGGGGGTTCCTACAGGCTGTGACAGTGCTGTAGGGGGTCAGAGAGCTCAGCTGCCTGGAGAGGAAAGATTCTTCCTGGGCCAGGGGACTCCAGGGAGACCAAAGCAGCTGGAAAGAGGAGAGAGAGGGGAAAAAGAATGAGCTAATGGAAACGTATGTCTCTCTCTAGATTTCCTAGTGCCCATACCCAGATACCCCCACGTCTCTGATTTGTCCCCTCAAATCCAGCAATCCAGCTTGGCTCTTGGCTTCCGATGCCTCTCCATGCAAGACCAGGCATCCACATCACCCTCCGGGTTCCTCTCCAACCGTACCTGGGCCCTGCCAGGAGGGAGGAAGTGGTCGTCTTCCTGTGGGTAGGTTGCCCCCTCCTCGTCCTGACGAGGGTGCTGGCTGGTGCTGGGGAATCCACAGCTCGCTTCGCCAGGCACCGGGGGCTCGGCCGCAGTGCCAGAGCTGCTCCACTGGGCCTTCTTTAGTCTGTGGAGATTTTAGGCTTAGCAGAGGTGCCTGGAGGCCAGGCTTCCTGTCTCTCCATTCTTCACCTTTCTGTCCTAAAATACTTTCTGCTGGGACCGAGGGGCATTGTCCTTTGACTTCCTACTCTCCACTCCCACTGTCTGCTCCCCTCAGACTGAAGTATTTTTAGTTCAAGGACTCAGAGGTGACCACTAGCTCCCCACTATCCTCCAGTTCTATGGAGTGCTTTCCTGGCTTTAGTGATCCAGTTTCCACTTCTTCTAGCTCAGTATGGCTCATCCACCATCCCTTAGTTCTCTCCTTTCCACATTATGGAAATTCTGCTGCGATCCCACCAAGTTCATGATTCATTTCCAAACAACCTCCAATTCCTTCCAAATCCTCCACCCCTTCCTTGGTTCAAACCATTCTGCCTCCAAACCCTGCTAGGCTCCCGGAGCCCAGATGTCTCTCCTTACTCATTGATGATTCTCTGTCGCCTCCTTAGATCCTCCAGGTGGTAAGTGACAGCCCTTACTCGGGCTGGGATGCCCCCAGGTCCCTGCATTCCTGCCAAATATGACCTCCTTCTCTTTCTTCTGAAAAGCATCTCAGGGGGTGGGAGCCCCTCAGGGGGGTACACGCCAGGCTGAGAACAACCAGTGGCTCTCTGTGCCAAAGAAGGGGGAAAAGGAGATAGATGGCAGAACTGGGGCTCTCAGGGGAGCTTAGACTGAAATAGGGAGTCAGGGGTCTTGGGAAGCTCAGATCACGAAAACAGCTGTGATCTGGAAAACACGATTGATAGAAAGGAGGGCCTGTTCTGTGTTTTGGTTGGGGGATACTAGAGGGAACGTGTAATAGGAGAGCTGGGGTGCAGTTTTAACCGAGAAGTATTGAAGGGCAGAAGGTTTGTCATACCTGCAGGGAGGGGATGTACCGTTCTTCCATCCAGGTGGAGCTGTGAAGCACAAAAAAGGGGGCTAAGTGCAGAGCGGCACCCCCATCCATGTTGTTTCTCTAATGATCTCTCCCATCCACCTATTTATCTGCATCAGGAGCCTACAAAGTCCATCAACCAGTGAGGCAGTTATTCCCAGTGCATATTGCTATATATAAAGCTTTCTTCCCCTTAATCCTCACCTGAGGACCTGCTTTTATTGATTTTAGAGTGAGAAGAAGGGAGAGAGAAACATTGATCAGTTGCCTCCTCACTTGTGCCAACCAGGGATCAAACCCGAAACCTGAGTATGTGCCCCAACCAGGGTTCCAACCTGTCACTTTTCTGTGTTCCAGCCAACTAAGCCACACTGGCCAGGGCTAGAAAGCTTTATGAGTGTTAAAATTGTACAGCCTCACCTTCCCACCGCCAGTTAGTCCCCATTCTCCCCATTTCTACCCACCTGGGCCTTTGACTAAGGTTGTCCCAGAAGACGTCTCCATAATGCTGGCGTGTCAGTCTGAGGCTCTGGGAAGGCAAGCTGGGGGGTGAAGATCGGCTGACCACCCTGGAACACCTGAGGTGAGGACAAGGGAGGCTAGGCTCGGGCTCTCCCCTTATATCTACTCACCCCAGGGATTCAGAGGCCCTGTCTTATTTATTTATTTTTAGTTAATCCTCACCCAAGAATATTTTTCCATTGATCTTATTTTTACACATCGATTGGTTGCCTCCTGGATGTACCCCGACCAGGATCCCTGGGCTGGGGAGGAGCCTGCAACCAAGGTATGTGCCCTTGGCCAGAATCAAACCCAGGGCCCTTTGGTCCGCAGGCCGGCGCTCTATCCACTGAGCCAAATGGCTAGGGCCAGAGGCCCTGTCTTTCCATGAGACCATCCAGCTACTCAGACTCCCTCAGGCTATGTCCTCACTTAACCCATTTTAGCTGCGGAAGGCCATAAAGCAGTGGTCTCAACCTTCCTAATGCCGCGACCCTTTAATACAGTTCCTCATGTTGTGGTGACCCCCAACCATAAAATTATTTTTGTTGCTACTTCATAACTAATTTCGCTACTGTTATGAATCATAATGTAACTATCTGATATGCAGGATGTATTTTCATTGTTACAAATTGAATATAATTAAAGTATAGTGATTAATCACAAAACAATATGTAATTATATATGTGTTTTCCGATGGTCTTAGGCGACCCCTGTGAAAGGGTCGTTCGACCCCCAAAGGGGTTGCGACCCACAGGTTGAGAATCGCTGCCATAAAGCCTCTGATTTGAAAGGAGATTGGAGCTGGGATGAGGGTGGAGATTGGCTATTGTTGAGCCTCAGATCTCACTGAATCTCAAACTTCTACACCCCACAACCAGAGAACATCATATTTAGCAAGCAGGGCTGTTAAATAGGAAGGCCCAGCTATTGGCTACTCAGATGATGATAGACAGGTTAATGCAAGGATGCAGGAGAGCAGATCCCTGTTTAGTCCTGCTTCGTCTCCCCTATCCCAGAAGGACTAATATCTTTGTAGGTGGTGAGGGATGTATGGAGCTGTTTGAGAATAGTGCTCATCACTTCCAAAGCCTGCAGATTAAATGATGACTGCTCTCCTGCTCTCTAGGAGGAGAGTGTCCAAGGGCTTAGGCCTGAGCCCTGTATCTTCTCCATTTCCATCCCTCCTTGGGTGATCTCACCCAGACCCATGACTTAATTCCCCCCCCCCCCCCGACCATGACTTTAAATACCACCAATGTGCTGATGACTCCCAAATCTATATTTCCAGCCCGGCTCCTTTCCTGAACTCCAGACTTGCAGGTTCAACTGTCCACTCAACATCTCCTTAGCCTTCCCCATCTCACTGAAAGGCACCCTAATGCCCAGTTGCTAGAGCCCAAAACCTGGTATACCTCATTTTCCCTCACCTCCCAAATCTATCAGTAAGTCCTATCAGTTCTACATCTAAAATACACCCAAATGTGACCACTCCTCCTCATTTCCACTCCCGTCTCCATATTCCAGCTCATCTTCCGCTACGCTGCCTGGACTATTGCAATGGCCTCTTCCTCCTCTCCCTCTTTCTATCTAATCTCCTACATGCTACTCTTCACAGAACAGCTTGAGTGATCTTTTAAAAGTGATCATGTGAAATGATGTATAATTTGAGATTTACTTCAAAATAATCTGAGTAGTAGGAGGTTGGCTAAGTATACAGATAAGATGATTATCCATGTAATGACAGTTATTAAAGCTGACTGAAAAGGGTACACCGAGTTCATTATTGCTGCCTTCTCTACTTCTGTATTTGTTTGAAATTTTCTGTAATAAAAAAGTTGAAGAAAAAAAAGCCTGTAGTCATTTCCTTGCTTAAAAACTTCCACTCGTCGAACCGGTTTGGCTTAGTGGATAGAGCGTCGGCCTGCGGACTGAAGGGTCCCAGGTTCGATTCCGGTCAAGGACATGTACCTTGGTTGCGGGCACATCCCCACTGGGGGGCGTGCAGGAGGCAGCTGATCGATGTTTCTCTCTCATCGATGTTTCTAACTCTCTATCCCTCTCCCTTCTTCTCTGTAAAAAATCAATAAAATATATT